CCAGCCACAGACATCATCACACACAGCAGCAGCAGCAGCAGCAGCTCCCTGTCAGGAGACGCACCTCTTCCTCCTCTTCCTCCTCTTCCTCCTCTTCTTCTCTCTCACTCATCAGACCACCTGGATTGTACTAGAGGCCAGCTGAGGACGCGGCAGCAGCGACGGCAGTGGAGGAGAGAGAAGGGACGCACAGCGTTGCAAAGGGAAGGAGAGCGGAGCAAACATTCACACTGAGGATAACACTTCATCCGAGCTGGCAGGCTGAAGGCACAGCCAGTGGCACTGCAGAGGCACATCAGCACCGTGGGCTAAAGATTTGCTGCGAGAGGTAAGGCTGGAGCTTGGCTATGAGACAGTGTGTGTGTGTGTGTATGTCATAAGATGTGTGTATATCATCTGTTTCCTTTGGAGGCAAATACACAAATGCAAAAGGTTGTGAGCCTGTGTGATTGTGCATGGATGTCATGGAAAATTATCACTGAGTCATGTTTGTAATAAATTACAAGTATTTCATTTTCAGCCTAGTCAGCCTGGCCTTTTCAAAATTGCATTTTTTTTTTATTATTTAAGTATAGTCTGTACTTCTGCAAAGCCTTTTGCGCAGATGCGCTGAACTTCAGTGGATTTTCAGAACAACCACTGAGCAGAACATAATCTGCATTGTGGCAGCTTTTCTGCAAGGCTGCTGCTAATTGAATAGATACAAAGATTAGAGGCCAGAGGAGACCCGAGGCTCTGAGGAGGGGAGGGCACAGTGAACTCCTGCTGATCTTAATTCAATATAATCGGGTTGAATTTGCTCTAATTAGGTTTATTTCTTTGGCTGGGACAGAGAAGGCTCTCACACATTTGGGTTTCTTTTTGCGGTTGGCTCTGCGTGACACTTTTGTTTTGCTTTCTTGGAGGGAATCACCATTACAGCTGAATCTGCTGATGAGGGCAGAACATGATATGGCCCCGGCAGTGGCAGCATGCCTCGTGATCAATTTGCCCACCACATCAAAGCTGGCGGTGATAATTCATCCACTCCTGTGCGGTGACACTAGCTCGAGCGGACGCTGGTGTTACACGGTGGGGTTGTATTAGTTGCAGCCGGGGAATTTCCAAAGGCCAGCGTGTCCATGAGAACCCACGGCAGAGTCATACAGTATCTGAGACCAATCAGAAGGGGTGGGTGACGGGAAGAAGGGAGGGAGGGAGTCAAGTTACCAATCTTGGACTCAAGTCTCAGATTGAAAGACGTGGGCGAGACTGGTAGCAATGAAGCATTTCTATTGGTTTAATTATGAAACTCTCACTTTATTATTTTCTCCTTTGGCTTAAAACATGCCAAATCTTTCATCACATTATGGGATTGGGGAGGTGCTGTGCTGGCATCCATAGTTTGATGACGTGCTGGTATGTGGTGGTCAGCACAGTGAGAGCGAGAGATGTTACTAATAAAAGGATTAGCATAGCCTTTAAACATCATCACATAACATTTTGGTTTGTGGTTACTCACAGGATGTGAATGAAGATGGCTTGAGGCTGGTATTTATAGGTGGAATTTGGGGCTCTTTTTTGGGCTCCTGGAACAGTTGGCCATTTCCACCTCTTTTCTTTTTTTCTGATGTTTAAAGGTCTGCAATAAAAGCATCGACAGGTGTTCGAAGCACTCCTTCCCGAATGGAAGAAACCTTCTTCCTGTGAGTAAATATTTGGGCAGAAGGATGCCTTGCCGTTCAGGTTTAAACGGCTTGCAGTTTAGCTTGTGACCGGAAGTGACCGGTTAATCGGGTTAACCATGTATGATAGTGGGGCCGAGAGCCACGGCCTTCTGGTGCTGGTAATCTGCTGTAAGACAACAAAAGGGGGCTGGCCAGCAGGCTGATCAGCAGGTTTAGTGTGAATGGTGTTTATAGTATGTGTGTGAATGATTTATAGACAGTTCATAGGCCCTGACGGGAGTGTCGAAGCAATGACAGGCCCCTCACATGTCAGATTTTAGATTGACAGACATGCTTGAAACTTTTCAAACTCCAATGTTTTTTTGTTTTTTTTTACCTGTTTTGTATAAACTCCTTCAAATGACTTTAAAAATGACATCCTGCCCTGCTAGAAAGTGCTTTTCTTTCAGTCTGATTGACAGTTTGAGGGTAGTGGGGCAGAGATCGCTAAGCAAGACACGCATTAAGGCAAACCTCCTGGCACCCTGAGCTTCACCAGCTGTAGACTGGATTAGAAGGTCTAGCTCAAAAGGTCTTATTGAAGGTGTTTGATTCATCAGCAGGAAGCGACTGGTGGTTAAATTCAGGGTTTAAAAACATGGATCAAAGATACTTGAAGTTTACTCCTTTTTCATCCTCTTGGATATCAACTGAGTTTAATCTTTTCTACTCGACTGGAAAAATCTTGGTCTTGAACTTTTTTTTTTTAATTTGTTGTTGTTCATACGCTTACATCTTAAGGCAGACAGTCCTATATTCAGTAAAACAGAAAGTTGCAGAAGCTGTGAAAAGTCTGAGTGACTTGAGTTGTAGTGGCTGACTCCTTATAACTACTGAACTGCATCTCTGCAAACAGTGAAAGCCTCATATTACAGTTTTGGAACATAGAAACACAGTCACATAACTCACCAAACTGAGGAGAGTTTTCCCCACATTGCTTAACTGTGACATCACATCAGTGTGATTGGTCACCTGCACTGTTGAACCTGGACCAATATTAATTATGACAATCCAGAAACAACACCAAGAACAAACTTATAACCTACTCCAACCTAGTAACCCCTCCAACCTCCAAATGTGGGCTTTTATACTTTCTAAATAGAGAAACTTTATCTGTCAGTGTCTAACAATGCTGAGGCAAGTTTGTGACCTAAAACAGTATTTGATTTCCCTGGATGAGAAAACCAAAATAAGGCTCCTAAATGACTAATCGCTTGCACTGTGTCAGTTGTCTGAGCCTAACTTTAACCATGACAGGAGTCTGTAATCGTTACACATAGTCTACCTGAACACTACAATCCTTATTTCTTGCTTTTCCAAGGCAGTTTAAATTAGTCTAGTAAAAAACGTGGCAATAATCGTCTAACGGCCATTTGTGAAGGAAAATTAGGTGATTGTCGTTTAATTTGGAGCAGGGGCGGATCTAGAAGGGTGGCATGGGGTGGCAAGTGCCACACTAAAATGATCCCTTGCCACCCCAAGTGCCACCCCAGTTTTCCATATGACAGTGTTGTTTATTAAAATAAGATAGCATTAACAGTTTGAGCGTAGTTACAGTCAACAGTGAATATAAATGCTAAAACTGATATATTGCATAGTGTTTCCCCCCTCCACCATTAACAAATGGTTCAGCCCATAGCAGGACCGGCTTTTTTCTTGTTTTCAGTAGCAAGTGATGTTTATGATTG